TTAGCAGAGAGGTCTGACGGCACAGAGACCATAATAAATCAGTTGCTTGCAGACTATATCAAAACCCCGTCAGCGAGTGGCAAGTGACAACGAGCTCAGGGCTCTCACTGATTCTGCATTATGGTGAGCTGTGTAATTATTTCATTATATATTACAATGTAATAATAATAGCAATAAAGTGCACAATAAATGTAATGTGCTTGAATCATCCTGAAACCACCGCCCACCCCGGTCCGTGGAAAAACTGTTTTCCATGAAACTGGTCCCTGGGACCAAAAAGGTTGGGGACCACTGCCCTAATGCTCTCAGATGTGTCAGGGACACTACTGCTCCCTGTTCTGGTCCACTGGGTGCTGACTCCACCCCCAGTTCCAGGGAGGGGCGTGGCCAAGGCTGGCCAATCAGAGCACTGCATGGCCCTGGTTCTTCAGGGCTAGGTCTCACAGCTAGCAGAGAGGTTACTGCAGACATTGTTAAAAACGGAGAACCCAAGACCCTCTGCTTAAGAGCTCCTCTGGAAGCTCTGTCACACCAACAAATTCATTCCCGTTGGCCAAGCTTGTCTGAGGTTCGTCTGAGGTTCTTCTGAGTCGTGATTGGGTCTCTGCAAGCACATGAGGCAGCACCCTTATGAATCCACATAAGCTGATGGCTGAATTCTCAGGAGTCTTACATAGCAGTTGTCAAACATGGCCAATACTAAAACTAAATTATATAAACTTACCATTAAATGAGTTATATTAAAACCAAAGGTAATCAATACTCGGCACTTACCTCTCCCTAATTATTTCACTACACTTTGCTATTATCCATGACCTTGGGGTTATTTATCTCTATTGTCTCTGTACAGTGGAAGTGCTGTAGGACAGCGTGTGCCTGTGTGTCTCCCCGCTCCACACACAGTGAGCCACGCTGGTAGCTTGAAACCCGCCACGGTTGGGAGTATTCACACCATGGAAATTGGCAAATGCTGCAAATATGGCTCCCCCGCTCAAAACTGTGGTTAAACATTTACGGGCATGGTGCCGAAAGGAGGCCTGATAATGTGTGCAGGGCCCTGATAATGTGTGCAGGAAGGAGAGATTGTAGCATCCTCGGGGCAAGAACTACAGTTGATCTCCTTTGGTTTCCCCAGCATCTAGCAAGGACATTCCATTTATGGGTGTCAACTGACTTGAGGAAATCAGGGTCCAAGGTCACCTGGTGGTGGGGTAGGGTCCTGAGCTCAGATGCCCTGCCCCACCTTGGAATCAGCCCTTCTTGTACATTCATCTCTGACACCTGGAAGACCGAGAGGCCCTGCTGGTAGCTGAGCCCAAATGCTCTGCCGCCGCAATGAAGGAGACTCTGCCCCTCCCAGAGGCCCTAATGTTCAAGGCTTTTGTTCTGAGCGCTCATTTCTTAACAACTTGCAACTGTGCAAGATGGTTTTAGCAAGTGATGGGCACGGCATTTAATAACACAAGGTCCCAAGCTGAGGCAGGTATGCCTTTCCAAAATATATGAAGAAAAACTGAAAGGATAAGTAGACGAACCCACAATTATGGTTGAAGACCTCAACACTCTTCTCTAAGTTATTGAAAGAACAAACAGACAGAAAATCAGTAAAGATATAAAAGACCTGGATGGCACTATCAACAATGTGACCTAAGTGACATTTTAGAACACGCCACTCAACAACAGGATACACAGTTTTCTCAGGTGCACATGGAACAGTCACCAAGATAGACCATATTCTGGGCCACCAAACAAACCCTAACAAATTTAAGAGAAATGATAGCATACAAAGTTCATGCTCTGACCGTAATGTAATAAATCTAGAGTTCACAAACCGAAAGGTATATGGAAAATTCCCAAATATTTAAAAACTAAATGCACTTCTAAATAACCCATGGGTCAAAGTGGAAATCTCAAGGGAAAGTAGAAAATATTCTGAACTAAAAATAAAAATATAACATATCAAGATTTTTAAAATGCAACTAAAGCAGTATTGGGAGGGAATTTTATAACATCAAGTGTGTATGTTAGAAAATAAGAAACATCTCAAATGAATTATCCAAACTTCTACCTTAAGAAACTAGAAAAAGAATGGCAAATTTAACCTGAAGGGATGAGATTATAAAGATAAGAGCAGAAATCAATGAAATTAAAATCAGGAAAAATGAGGGAGAAAATTAATGAAACAAAAAGCTGGCTACTTGAAAAGACCAACAAAATTGATAAACCTCTAGCTGGACTGACCATGACAAAAACAGAGAAGACAGAAATTAGCAGTATTGAGAATGAAAGAGAGAACATTGCTATAGACTCTACAGACATGAGAAGGATAATATAGGAATGTTATGAACAACTTTACATCCTAAAATTTGACAACTTAGGTGAAATGGACAAATGCCTGAAAGACATGGACTACCAAAGCCCACTCAAGAAGGAACAGTTAACCTGAATAATCCCATAGCTATTAAAGACATGGAATCCACAGTTAAAACTTTCTAACAAAGCAAACTCCAGACAAGGTGGCTTCACTGGTAAATACTACCATTCAAGGAAGAAACAATCCTAATTCTATACAAACTCTTCTAGAAAACTGAAGAGGAGGGAACACTTCCCAACTCATTTCTTGAGGCTAGCATTACCCTAAAACCAAAGATATTACAAGAAAACGACAGACCAGTATTGCTAGTGTACGTAAATAAAAGAATCTTCGGCAAAATATTATCAAGTCAAATCCAGCAAAATATAAAAAAGAGAATACATCATGACCAAGTGAAGTTCATCCTGGAATGCGAGGCTGTTCAACATTGGAAAATCAGTCAGTGTAATCTATAATATTGGCAGATACATTAAAAAGCATATCATCATCTTAATTAATGTAGAAAAAGCATTTGGCAGAATTCAGTACTCATTCATGATTAATTCTCAGCAAACTGGTCATAGAAAGAAATGTCCTCAGTGCAGTAAAGGGCATCTACAAAACACCTACAGCTAATATCTTACTTAATGGCAAAAGGCGCAGTGTAAATTGAGTTCCCTGTAAATTGGAAACTAGGCAAAGATGTCTACTCTCACTACTCCTATTCAGAATCATACTGGAGGCCCTAGCTAGAGCAATACGGCAAGAAAATTAAAACATAGATTGGAGAGGGGAAAAAATAAAATTGTCTCTATTTGCAGATGGCATGATTGCCTATGTAGAAAATACCAAGGCATCTACAAACAACTTGGCAGAACTAATAACAAGTGAGTTTAGTAAGGTTGCAGGATACAAGGTCAATATACAAAACTCAACTGTATTTCTCTATGCTAGCAATGAACATTAGGAAACTGAAATTCTAAAAACAGTACCATTTACAATAGTACCAGAAAAAGAAAAACCGCATGAAAAACTCAGTATAAGTTCTAACATTTGTGCAAGATCTGTACACTGAAGTCTACAAAACAATGATGAACAAAATCAAAAACCTAAATAGGTGGAGAGATATATTGTGTTCATGGATTGGAAGACTCAATATTGTTAAAATGATAAATTCTTCCCAAACAGATCTGTAAATTCATCCCCTCCAAAATGTACTTTTGTCCAACAAAACGTACAAATCTGTACATCTTTTGTACAAATCAACAAATGGATTTGTAAATTTATATGGAGAGGCAACAGATCTAGAATAACCAAAACAATTTTGGGAAAGAAGTACAATGTTGGAGGACTCACATTTTCTAATTTCGATGCTTACTATAAAGCCACAGTAATCAAGACAGTGTGGTACTGATGAAAGCCTGGATCAGTGGAACAGAATGGATTCCAGAAATAGATCCCACGTGTGGCCAATTTACTTTCAACACAGCTGCAAAGGGAATTCAATGGACAAAGGATGGTTTTTTCAACAAATGGTGCTGGAACAATTGGTCATCCATATGTGAAAAAGAAACCTTGATCCACACCTTGTATCATATACAAAATTTGACTCAAAATGGATCCTTGACTTTCACGCAAAACATAAAATTACGAAACTTCTAGAAGTAAACCTAGAAAAAAGTCTTTGTGACCTTGCGTTATGCAAAGATGTCTTAGCTAGGACACTAAAAGAATGATTCACCACCAAAAAAAGGATAAATTAGACATCGTCAAAAAATTTTTTTAAAAATCTGCCCTTTGAGAAACACCATTAAGAGAATGAAAAGAGAAAACAGAGAGAAAATACTTGCAAAATATATGTCTGGTAAAGAACTTGTGTCCAGAATCTATAAATAACTCTCACCCCAATTTAAAAAATGGTTAAAAGATTTGACCAGATATTTCATCAGGGAAGATATGCAGATGGCAAGTAAGCTCATGGAAAGATTTTCAAACTCACTAGATATCAGTGAAATGCAAACTAAAACCACAATGAGATGTCACTACACACCTACTAGGACAGCTCAAAACAAAACAAGACAACCCCCTGACAATACCAAGTGAAGGCGAGGATGTGGGCAACTTGACCACTCATACCTGGCTGGTGGGAATACAGGTGTGTCCACTTTGGGAACTGGTTTGGTAGGTTCTTATCAAGTTAAACAACTTCTGTCTTATGACCTAGAGATCTCCCCTCAAGAGAAATGAAAATATATATTTGCGCAAAACCTGTACACAAATGTTTGTAAGATCTTTATTCACAATCCGCCCAAAGTGGGAACAACTCAAATGTCCTTGACCTGGCGAATAGACAGGCAGACTGTAGAATAGCCATACAATGGAATATTGTCCCACAGCAGAAAGAAATGAACAAACAATCCAGGAAACAGCAAGGCTGAATCTCAAAGTCATTACATTGAATAAAAGAAGCCAGACTTGGGCTTCCCTGTTGGCGCAGTGGTTGAGAGTCCGCCTGCCGATGCAGGGGACACGGGTTCGTGCCCTGGTCCGGGAAGATCCCACGTGCCGCGGAGCGGCTGGGCCCGTGAGCCACGGCCGCTGAGCCTGCGCGTCCGGAGCCTGTGCTCTGCAACGGGAGAGGCCACAACAGTGAGAGGCCCGCGTACTGCAAAAAAAAAAAAAAAAAAAGAAGCCAGACTGAAATATATAGTGTATTTGATTGGAAACATATGATTGCATCTATATGACATTCTGGAAATGACAACTGTAGGGACATAAAGAAACCAGTGGTTGCTATGGATTGGGAGCCAGGGAGCAACAGGGAGCACAGTGGGATTTGGGCCCATGGTTACATGGCCATTCGTTTGTCAAAACTCAGAATTGTACACTTAAAAGGGAGAATTTCATTCTATGTAACTCATACCTCAAAAATTAAAAATATGTAAAAAAATGTATTGTTGGAAAATAGCACTAAGAAGAATTCTAATATCCATTTCACTTAGATAAAAAGTTGTGATTAGTAAATTAATTTCTATTTGGCCAACATTTAAAGGCCCCGTATTCCCATGACTAATTTCTGATTCTTCATGAAATTTTTTAAAAACAAAATTTTTAAAAATGTGAGCAAGTATCTACCTGTACACATCCATCCATCAGTCCTGACATTATCCTACCTGTTGCAATAAATGGTAAGGATAATTTTTAAGAAGATCCAGCTGTTCTTATTCTGAAATGGGTCTGTGTTATCCAAAGTGCACTCTTAGCCTGACACAGGACACATGCAAAGTTTGCAAAGTCAGACAAACGCATTTTCAAACGTTCGTGCTCTACGTGACACATTTACCGGCAGCCTGATAGTAACTGCCGTACTGTTGGCAGGTCCCGGATCTTCCTGCCATCTCCCTCCCCTTGCCATGGGTCACGCGCCGCCACCGTGAAACAGCTGTCCCAGGCCACCTGAGCATGCGATCTCGGTGCCAAACTACGGAGGAGGCCTCGCAAATTCCAGAACACAGCTCACATGTCGCTTCCAGAGGCCCTGTCTTCTTCCGTTCCCTGTGGGACAAAAACCAGTTGACAGGACACCTGAGAGCTGCTGAGTTGCTCTTTGGGGTAGAACCACCCAGAGTGAAGTGCTTAGGTCCTGGTATTAAAAGCATCTTCACTTTTCCAGACATTGGTGAAAACAGGGAAGAAACCCAGCCTGGAGGGCAGACGATGCCGAGGTGGCGTTGCCACAATACTGCCTGATTCTCCGGTGCCGCTTGGAGCTGCTAATTCCGTGGACTGGGGTGTCCAGTTCACAAGCCCCTGGACAGTCCCAACGCCCAGAGAGATTTCTGAAGCTCCATGGTCAAGGGCCTTGGAGGAGCTGGGATTCCACCCTCGCCCCCGTGACGGGAGCAGGTGACGGTCAGGTGTGTTGTGTGGTGGGACATAGAGCCACACTTCAGGAGGGGCCTCACGCTGGCCGAGGCCAGTGGGGGACCAGGTGACCAGTGCAGTGAGAAGTACACGCCCAAGCAACAGGCGACGCTGCTCCGAGCAGGACCCAGGCCCTCTGCAGAGACAGGCTGCCACTGGAGCAGAAGCCCCCCAGAGAACTGGGGTGTTGCCTGCAGACACAGGCTTCAGTCCAGGTGGGGCTGTCCCGCTGTCCTCACTGCCCACCTGCAGCTCCAGCCACGCCATCCATCCCTGAAAACACCCCTCCCCACCCCCTCCAGCAAGGGTGCCAGGCTCCCGCTGTGGCTCACCGCTCTTCCCAGGTCCTGAAACATTACTTCCATTTCGTGCTGGGGCTTCCGAGGGAATTCAGGAATCAGATGCAACATGGGTTCACGCATACGGTATTGAATATCCACAGCTTTGGGATCACATTCTAAAATCCAGGCGCACAAAGTTGAAAAAGAGTGGTCAACAATTGTGGCCGCTTCTAGGGAGACGGTCATGCTGGGTGACACTTCAGTCTCCAGGGCTTGTCCCAGCAGAAAATGTTCCAGGGATTTCACTGCTAAGTTGGGCACATCCATTAATAAAATTTCAACTTCCTCTAGCTCCTTCGAAAGACTCCTACTTTCAAATATTAGCTTTTTTATTTAGGGAGTTGGCCTCAGGCTTGCTAATGACACTCTGTGGCCAGGACAGAAAAACCCTATTTGTTCCTATAGTCCATTTAAAATTGATTTTTGACACCTGGGGCAGCTGTACTTAAACCCTTCTACACCAGCAGCAAACCTTGGGCGTGCCTGTGTAGTGAAACTCTTTTTTCTGCTTAAGATAAATGATTTAACTGGCAACATATTTTTATATTGTTGAAAAATCCTAGGATCCTTTTTTTGTGTGTGTGGTACGCGGGCCTCTCACTGTCGCGGCCTCTCCCGTTGCGGAGCACAGGCTCCAGACGCGCAGGCTCAGCGGCCATGGCTCACGGGCCCAGCCGCTCCGCGGCATGTGGGATCTTCCCGGACCGGGGCACGAACCCGTGTCCCCCGCATCGGCAGGCAGACTCTCAACCACTGCGCCACCAGGGAAGCCCCCTAGGATCCCTTTTAGAATTATTTTGTCAGCATTCACCAACGATTTCAATGCCGTAAGCATGTTACTCTCATTTGTAGGGGGTAAAGCGGTTCTCATGCTTTGAAATACTAGATGAGCTTCTCTCCAGAAATTCATTTAAAGTTTTCAAATGGCCATTATGTGAAAGGACTACCTCGGAAAAGGTTAAACACAGCTTTTCCAATCAAGTTAGTGACCGATTCTGATTGATTTAAAGTAATTCATCGTCTGGCGTGCTGTTTTCTGTTATTACTTTCCTGACACTTATAGTTCAGGCCTTGGGATACAATTATAATAATTATCTGGATGAGTCTTTTAATCGGTGACCTTTGGACTCTTCAACAAACTGTCACACTCCATTAACAGGAAATGACATCACGTGCCGGCGGTCGTCTGGCTGCTTCTCTGAGGAATATTCCACCATGAGAACTATTTGTAGTCTTCCTATATGGTCTCCCGTGGCTGGCTCCCAGCCATTGTGGCTCAGTTAAGAGGTATTTTTTCCTTTACTGCATTTTTTTTGTCTCAACAAGCATGGTGAGCATCCCGTATAGTACTTACCTGCAACTGCTCAGAAAAACAAGCACGTATGTCTTTTGACATCCTAAACTGTGCATACTGTAAAAGACAATGATTTATGCAAATGAGGCTCATCATGGCAGCCATGCCTTGGAAATGAGACAAAAGCTACTTAAGTAGCACCGTAAACGAGGCTGCCCCTTAAAATCTGTTTTATCTGATACACTCAATTAAAAATAAACTGCAATAAAAAAATTGGGGAAATGTAGAAACAGTCGGTTTGATAAGCCAAAGGTCCTAAGGCTGTTCATTGAACATGTTTAAGTATAAATAACACTACCCACTAAAGACTGATCGTCATACAGGATACATTCCCAGGGGCTGTTCAGTAAGATTATCAACGGTTAGCCAAATGCGTAACATTTATACTGGAAATAATACCTGGAAAATAAGAAATTCCTGCCATTTTCACAAGGCTGTCGAACTTTATAATGTAAGCTGCTTGAGTGCCATCAGGACTTAACCTCCCTTGTGGTCCCAACCCTTTCAGTGACTGATCTCAAACAACAGAGGTAAGTCATGCCTCAGGTGTGTTTCAAAAGCATCCTTTATATAGTAGAACTGTTGTCAAACAATGTTGTAATTTGAACACCCTTGGCCCAAAAAAAAAGGCATTAAATTGTGCAAGAGGTGTGCATTCTAGAATGATCTCCTGCTGGATTCGCAGAACTATGTCGAAGGCGGCCTCTCTCTCGGCATCCTGACCCCGGGGCCACGAGTGTCTTCTCTTCCAGGTCCTGGAAAAGCCCTTTTCTCACTGAGCAACCTCAAGGGCCAGAAACCCTCCTGTTAAAGACACAGCTTTTTACTCACTCTTCTGTGTTGTACGAAAGTGATCAAATGAATCGCCAAGACTGTTATGACTTGGGTTTGTTAACTGTCTCCAAGGTCTGGCGTCCGTCTCCGTGTTTGAAAATAAAGAAACCACTGCCCTCTTGTGGAGACTTGTGTCATTGCTCCTGTCACAGAAGTCAAAGGCATCAGGAATTTCTCCTTCGATCCAGGCGTCAGTGGGAATCTGGGCACATAACGGAATCAAAGCCGAGCATCTGAACTTAATTCTACCTAACAGCTCATCCAGATGTTATACATGCAAAACACTGAAAATTACCTATGAAAGACTGTTTCTGGGGAGTTTCTGATGGTGTCTACATACCAACTGGGCTTACATTTTCAAACCATGTTTCTTATGTTATCTGTTCTTTTTAAATTAAAAAACTTACATGCTAGTAAAATACATGACGTGAAGTTCAGCACCTTAACCATTTCCAGCGTACAGTTCAGTAGTGTTAAATACATTCACTCTGCAACCAATCTCTGGAACCCTTTTCGTCTTCCCAAACTGAAACTCTTTCCTCATTAGACAATAATTCCCCCTCCCCCACCCCTCGGCCCCTGGCAGCCACCATTCTGCTTTCTGTCTCTATGAACTTGACTCCTCTAGGGAGCTCACATAAGTGGAATCATACAGTATTTGTCCTTTGGGGGCTGGCTTATTTCACTTAGCAGAATATCCTCAAGGTTCATCCATGCTGTAGCAGGTGTCAAAATTGCCTTCCTTTTTAATGATATTCCATTGTATGGACAGACCACATTTTGTTTATCCATTTATCTATCTATGGACATCTGAGTTACTTCCACCTTTTGGTTATTGTGAATATTGCTTCTATGAACATGGGTGTACAAATATCTCTTCAAGACCCTGCTTTCAATTCTTTTGGGTCTATCCCCATATTGCTGAATCGCGTGGCGATTCTATTTTTAATTTTTTGAGGAACCACCATAGTGTTTCCATAGAATCTGCACCATTTTACATGTCTACCAACAATGCACAAGGGTTCCAGTTTCTCCACATCCCCACCAGGCAAAGAAGACGGTTTTTTAGAACCATCATTCACATATAACAAAGAAAGGCAATTTTAAGTCATTTTATTTTATTGAGTTTTGCAAAAACCTCTTTAAACAACAGTCAAAGAATAAGAAACTACTGCAAAAGTTCAAATAGGCCCAATTATAGCATACAACAGACCATGGGGTTAGTCTTATTATGTGATTTCAATTAATTCACTGTCATAAAATGAATATACTGCCTTTCCTGCTGGGAAATTGCTTCCGTATGTTCACCTGACATGGGGCTTCTGAACTTGGGGTATTTTAACACCAGATGAGCATTTTAAGAATTTGAGTTTAGTCAACTAGATGGGAGAAATTCTTTCACAATGCATACATACATCAAATTGTATATCAAATCATCACAAGGTACACTTTACAATTTTATTTGTCAATTATATCGCAATAAAGCTGAAAAAAAAAAAGAATTTGAACTTAGGACCTATCAATGATTTTAAAATATGGGCTGGAGGGGAGTTCCCAGCAAAAGCAGCCGCTGAGCTAAGAAAAGAAGCAAAATACGACTCAGTATAAAGATAGATACTAGTTAATTTTAAGTACGAAAGAGGCATTTCATGTGCTGCTCGAATGTGGGAAAACCTCTTCGGTGTGGCAAAAAAATACTCATTATAGGTGCTCTAAAAAAGTACAAATTCTCTGCAAGTACACATTTTCATTATCAGATTTTTCTGTTTCTTCGCACTTGGCCAATTATTTTAAAAATATAAACAAAGGCGTTTTAGCAAAACAGAAGGGTGACAAACTGATATACTAATGAGCTATAATGGAATGTAATGGGGGGACTTCATACCTGCCGAAGAAAATTAAGAAAGAAACAAAATCTCAAAGCGAGCCCTGCTGATCTGCCACAGTAAAAAAAATTGCTCATCACTTTCCAGTCTAATGTGAGGTTTCTCTTTTTCTACTCAGTTTTTAAAAATACCATTAGGATCCTTTGCACTGAGTTTAGAACTAATTAAAAGTATTATGGTAGCTTTAAATTTTATGGATAACTCATTTGTATAAAAAAAGGACATAAAATTAGTCTTTTATGTTTAAAACTCATAATATCAGAAATATCACGGGTGTGTACAATTCAACCTGTAGTTCCCCAGCTTTGCCTGTCTGGTGAAGCACTAAGTAGTCCACGTTATCGTGGAGATGACTATTATCCAAAAATCACTGCTCATTCATTGGGGGTCACCCTGCCAGTATCAAGTGAATGAATTCATAGGTCTGAGGTTTCATCCTCCAATTCAGGATTTGGGCCCTTTATCAAATACCTGCAGTGTTTCTGAAATACCCAACTGAAAATAGGCAAACAATTCTAGGCACTACCACAAGCTCTGGAAAAACTGTGACCATCCGCTGTCATGAATTTAATTGTTTCAAAGACAGTGCTAAACCCTCGTAACGCGCGTTAAGAAGGACACGTTGTCACACCGAACCTGGACTCCCCATCACTTCTCCATCATGGCCAGGATCATCTCACAGGTCATGTCTTCATCCGGGTCCTCGCCTCCAGCCGTGGCTTCTCCGAAGTCGATGGGAACCAGCCCTCCCGGGTACTGCTCCCCGCTCACCAGGGAGGCCTCCTCGGCAGCGGCTTCTTGGGGAAAAGGCACAGCATTGGCAAATTTAAAATAAAGCAGCCAAGAAATCAGAATTGATAGACGCTGCGATTGTATTTTGGAAACAATGGCTGAATTTTTAGCGCAGCATTTTAGAAAACAATACTTCCATTTATAGGACAGTACAAATACCCTGATCTCAACTGTTTAAGGCAGGGCTTCTCAACCCCAGCTTTAAGGCAGGGCTTCTCAACCTCAGCTCTGCAGACATTCAGGGCCGGAGGGTTCCCTGCTGTGGGAACCTGTCCTGCGCACCGTTACGTGGTTAGCAGCCTCCCTGGCCTTGACCCGCGGGGCGCCAGAAGCACCCTCCCCCAGCTGTGGCAACCAGAAATGCCACCAGACACAGGCACCTGTGCAAAATCACCCCCCGCTGAGAACCGCGGCTTGAGGTGAATGCAGGTCCTGTGAATTACTGGCCGGACGGCTTCACAAGTCTTGTCCTGGTGCCCACGGAATGACACTGATGACATGAAAAAGGCCAGCTGCTCTCGGGACACCCGTCCCATCAGCTAATCAACATACCCCGAGTCACCTCCGGGCCAAGCGTCCTGCTAGGTACACACCATGAGCCACGCTGAGATCCGTGACCATCCCTGCCCTCCTTCAAGCAGCTTCTAAACAGTCAGCCCAACTTTGGGAGTCTCAAAACAGAGGCTCACATCCACATCCAACCCCCTACCCATTTTCCAAATTCCTCCCTGAGAAGACCCGTGGAAAGTCACTGACGAGGTACCGGGAATGAGAGACAGAGGGCCCCGCGCAGAAGAAGGTTTTTATCGCATGTGACTTCAAACTTGTTGCAACATAGTTTTGCTTACGGTTCCTTGAAGCATTTAGGAGGGGGGAGGGGGGAGAGGAATAAGACTCAGGCCTCGTGTACGAAGATGAACACAAGAGTCGGCGGAGTAGGTGCCGTCTGACAGTAACTTGCAGAAATCTACCGCGGACCTGGTGGGGGACACGCTGACCCACTAACACAGCAAAAGCAGAAATGAAACGATGACCTGGAGGATGTAGGTTCAAAAAAAAAAACCCTGAAGTGCAAATCAAGCCCTGTTTCTGGCTAATACAAGTCAGGTTACTTGTCTCAATTCACACTTTGCTTTGAATACACAGCTGACCCTCTTCGATACGCAAAACGTTTTAATATATCCAGTCTTTTCATCCCCGATTTTTAAAACTGCAAGAGTTTGGCCCTTTCTGCCCTTCTGGCTCACAAACAGTCAACGCCAGCCGTGTCTCCAGGGCCCTTCCCAGAGCTCGTCGACAGAACGGTCCTGTTTCAAAGGCTAGTGTAAGTAAATGGGGGAGAAGGCGCACGTGGGGACCTACTCTTCATCACTAAAAAAATTTTTTTCTGTTCTTTCAATGTCAACGTCCAGAAAGCACGTTGGGGAGAGGTCAGCTCAGGATTAATGAGGGTGAGGTGCTGCCCCACAACTGCGGAGGCCGGTGCCCAGGCTGGAAGCCCTCAGGCTTGAACAATGGAGGGGCCGACGGGGCAGGGGAGAGGGGAGTCCATGGGAACAAGAGGGAGCAGAGTGGAGCTGGGAGTCCTGCCGGTGTATTTATTTTTTCTCAAGACACAAGTATATTTGAGGCTGGTGAGAAGGATCTGGCTGAACCGGACGAGCTGGCCGCTGGGGAGGGAGAAGAGAAACGTGGAGGGGTGAGCAGGTGGGAGAGGTGCCACGGGGTGTCCACGGGAGCCCGGGGCGGGCTGTGGCCTCTGCCATCCAGTTCTCCACTGGCGGACGGCATGAAGGCCTGCGGTGTGGGGCTGCACTCAGGATAAAAGGGACCACGTGTGAGCTCTCGGTGGGACATGGTAACTCCTGCAGGAGATAAAACAGGTGCTCCAGAGATGGGCCGTGGGTGCGATTCTGGATGGTTGTAACTGAGCTGGGCAGCTGTGCACCGACTGAGGACCCCTAGGTCCTGCCAGGTAACCCGCCCTCCAGGACCTGGCTCCCGCGATGCCTCCAGGGTTTGAGCTTTGCCAGGTGGGTGAGACGTGCAAAAAGAACCAGGGAGTTTGGCATGTGGACAGTTACTGAAATGAGGGACGCTGCACAGAGGGGAAAGGGACGGACTGCAGGACGCCCTGTTAAACGTGAGTTTCCGATAAACACTGAATCATTGCTTAGCATAAGTTTATCCCAGATAGTGTGTGGGATATACTCAGACGACAAAGTTATTCATTGTTTATCTGAAATTCAAATTTAACTGGGCGTGTCCTCCACTTTACCTGACAACAACCCTTGGAGGAAGGAAGAGGCTTCCAGCTCTCCGTGGGAACATTCACAAGTCCAGGATTGGGGCTGGAATCAAAATCTAGGGAATTTAAAGGATGAGGATGCCATACAAACATTTTCCATTTGTTTTTGCTGAAGGTTGCCTTGGTTTCCAGTCACACTCTAAGTCTAAGATTCTCATACGAAAGGAACAGAACAGCTGCACAGGAGCTAGGGCCTCCTCCTCGTGGAGCAGAACCTTCCACAGGGCCGACAGCGCACGGACAACCCGTGTTAACCTGGGGACTCACATCTGCTCCCTGAGGCTGGAGGGAAAAGACTGACGCCTGGAGTGGGTTGAATGGCAGCCCCGCAAAAGACACGTCCACATCCTAACCCCCAAACTGAGACTGGGACTTTATTTGGAAGAAGGGTCTTTGAAGATGTAATGAAGGCCCTCGAGATGAGATCATCCTGGATCTTCCAGGCAGGCCCTAAAGCCAACGACACGTGTCTGTATGAGACAGAAAAGGTGAGACGCAGATACAGGGGATGCGCCCACGGGCAGACAGAGGCAGAGACGGGGTGATGCAGCCACAGGCCCAGGGGCGCCTGGGCCACCGGAGGCCGGAAGAGGCAAGGAAGGGTGCCCCCCCCCCCCCCCCCCCAGCGCGTGCAGATGGAGCGTAGCCCTGCTGATGGCCTTGATTTAGGGCTTCTGCCTCCAGACCTACAAGCAAATCAATTCCCGTTGTTGTACGCCACCCAGCATGTGGTCATTTGCTGCGGCAGCCCCAGGAGATGAACACAGGCCCATAGCTCCACCAGGCACAGGGACGGTCCACCAGCACGACCGAGGACAGCGGGGGCACGTGCAGCGTCATCGCCTGGCTCTCACGTCCCGTCAGGACCCCACGTGACGGGGGGTGTGGACCCACCGGGGTCCCCAGGCTCACTTCCTCTGCGCATCCTCCCACTTCACCAACCCGCCCGTCGGGGCAGCAGCAGCAATGGCTGCTGGGACCAGGCGCCTGCTGCGGTCGGACACTCAGGGTTTCTGGATGCGTCCCCTGCATAGTAACGCTCAGCACCCAGGGAAACGCACAACCAGAGAACCACCGTCAAAAGAAAACCGGATTCATTTAACAGGAGGTACCGTCTTCCTCGGCTGCCTCTTTCGGGATGGTCGGCTTCCTCATTTTTGTTCGTCTTCCTTTTTCCGAGGTGGTTGGCTTTTCTCGCCTGGAGCCACACTTTTTCAGGTGTCTCTGCATGTTATTCTGCCGGAGAAATGAGAGCACAGGGAAAGCCAGCATCACTGGGAATGGCGTGGAAAACCCACGGCTAAAGAGACGGGAAGCGGGGAGGAACGCGCGCCTTGGGTAATCTTGTACAAAAAAGATGGTTTTTTCAAAGGTGACCCTTTTCCGTTGTGTTTTCGGTCTGGCCGAAACCCAGCTTATTTTTAAATATTTTTAAAGTCGTGGACGTCAATGAGAAGACAAAATTCATTTTCCTAGACTGCTTCTACTGAAGCGAGGCTTGAAAAATTCAATAGACCCTCGATTTTATGAAAATCAGTAATATACCATGGGCATTCTACTGCCCTACCAGCTTCCCTCCAGACCCACTATGCATGGAGGTATTAAGGCTGTACAACATTTGGAATTAAGAAGGCAGCTCAGAGCTTTCCTATCGAACCTAGTAACGATATATTTTTGTCTATGAACACGCAGGATGGTTTAAAATAAGTGAGAACACTTAACACTAAGTCCATATGCTAAAGTAAGATACTGGCGGCATGTCATTAAATATGCTGATTATATAAAATGTGACCCCTAATTTCCACTGAGACTTCAGTGTGGTGGTCGGGGCTGTCCTGGTGCGTCGGGGGGAAGAGGAAGGATCCATATGTGAGGGGAGGGGGATGGTATTTAAATTTCTTCCATTTTATGCTTATCCATAGGCGTTGGCAAACTGCTTTTGAGCTACAACGGCAGGCTTGAGTAGTTGTGAAGCTGAAAATATTTACTCTGGCCCTTTCCAGAAAAAAGCGTGCCAATCCCTGGTTTATAGGATGACGAAGTATATAAAACCAAGCCTTTTGGGGTCAAGGATTCCTTTGTGAATATGATAAAAAGCAAGGCTCCTTCCCCAGCAACGGGCATGTGTATCTCCATACACAGTCTCCCTACAACTTCACAAAGTTCATGGTTAAGAACTCCTGACACAAGTTTGGATGAGCAAACAAAACAAACAAAAACACATCCAGCCTTTACAAAGTAAGTGGGGTAAGATTTTAAGTAAATATATGGACATTTACGGCCCAGGGGGCAAAGTAATAATACAAACCTCTGTGTCAGGGAAATGTTTCTCAAGAGAGGAGGTGCCCAGTATTCTGAATCCAGAGCAGGGGGTCCTTACTGGGGAGGAGAGGGGTGGCCCTGTGACATTCTGGTATACAGATACACTGGGACCACTGTGGGCTAAAGAATGGAAGTTTGTGAATCATATACTTTTTAAAAATTAAATTGAATTTGAGTATCCAGATATACTTTCATTTATTTGTCTGTTTTTAAACATAATTTTTAAAGAGCAGTTTTAGGTTCACAGCAAAATTGAGAGGGAGGTAGATTTTCTTCCCTACAAATCCTCTGCTGTCTACCTATTCTTTCTTCCCCCAAACCCCAACCCCAAGCGACCGCTGGTCCTCTTACTGTCTCCACAGTTTTGCCCTTTCCAGAGTGCCACAGGGTTGAAATCATACGGTATGGAGCCTTTTCCGACTAGCTTCTTTCACTTAATGCACATTTAAAGTTCCTCCATGTCTTTTTTTTTTGAGATTTTTTTGATGTGGACCTTTTTTATTTTTGCTCTTTCTAAAATAGTAATTTAAATGTTTATTTCCTCTTTTACATTTTGTATTATAAACTCATTTAAAGCTACAACTTTACAAATATTGACAAGCTAATCCTAAAATTCAAATGGAAATGCAAAGGACTCGAATAGCTGTAGTTTTTGGCTGCATCCCATTAGTTTGGACACGTGCTATTCATAAGTTTTGAATATAATCTTAATTCTATTCTTGATTTCTCCTTTAGTCCTAATCATGTTATAAAAGAGTGATTTTAAATATTCAAATTTGTACTGCTGATTTAAAAACATTTTTTTGCAATGGTCAAGAACATGATCTTGCAATTTCAAGTATTTTGGAAGTTAAAGAGAAATTTGAGGTTTTCTTTATGAACAATTTTGATAAAATTTCTTCCGATTCGTGAAATGTCCCGCCCCATAACTTTGAAAGTAAATATTAACTGTTTCTACCATCTAATTGTTATATTTTGCCCATTGTGTACTGTGAGGCTAAGAATGAAAACCAAGTATTTAGTCGGTAGTTCTTTCTTTATGCCTGTGCCATCAAATCTTTTTTAGAGAGGAAAGACATAGAAGTTTAACAGCTATTCTTAATGAAGAAACAGCTTCACCCCACTCGCTGTCACACAACAGCTGAGAATTTTCAACGGGAAAATAACTGGTTGCTCTCATGTTCAGAAAGGGGAGATCTGAGGAGAATTACACCATTTTCATTAACCTGGGACACTTATAACCCTTTACCCCACCAACGCTTGCTGCAGCTCATTTTGTATTACTGCGTACACTATGAATTCCTAACACAGGAAGCTAATGCAAAGTATACTGTTGTCCTCCTAGACAAAGATAATGTGCTGATAACAATGTCACTTCTTGTATTTACAAGTTCAGCGAAAGAGATGAAAGGGACACCCATTCCTCTTCTTGGGAATCACAAGTTGAATAGAAGTATTCAGCACTGGTCATGCTAGATCTCTGAAGAACTAGGCACACAAAAACCAATAAGTAACCATAAGTCCATAAATAATCATTATTTCACTTAATTAAAGTATTCACTCTTTCTAGATAACATCTTCAAAATAGAATTTTTCTCTTTGATATTAAATTTTTTTGTTGTTGTTGCCATTGTTTTGTTGGTTTCGGATTACCATAAACTTTTGTAACTTCTCTTAAAAATAAGAGTAATAATTTTCCAACTGTAATGACTAAACATTTATGCCACGCTAAATTGTTACATTAAAAGCCTGCTTTTTAAATTATATAAAGGGAATTAATAAGAAGTTCTCTAACTAAAAAAATGTTTTTAATTAAAAAAAAGAAGAGTAACAACAAAAAAAGAGTGACAATGTTAGGGAGCTAATAGATTTAACGATCCTCAAAGATATAACTCCAACCTTATGAATCCGGCGTCCTTAGGGTTAGCACAGAGCCTGGCACCTAGTAAGTCCTTCACAAATTTGTGTTAAATGAGCATATGTGGCACTGTCAAAATGATGCAGTTCCAGAAAAAGCACTCTGGTGCCATCCAAGACAAATCACATACTTGCCGCGTGGTTAAGATCCCTTGACTTATCTGGTCCTCTACCAAAGCTTTTCTCTCCCTTCTTGGAAGCCCTTTTAATCCAATTCTAGTTCTCTGATGCTAACATTATCTTTACAATCTACTAAAGAAGGAGGAGTCGGAAAGGGACAAGGGAGAAGAGGGAAAAGAAGAGAAAGGAAGGTATACAGACCACGAAACTTCTCCACCGTCTCCATCTTACTGCTGTTTGCTCACAATGAGCCATCCAAAGTCCAGGAGGTTATGGTCTATGCAGGTGTTCAATCAGGAGTCTCATTGTTGATGTGGACCATTTTTAAAGCCTTTATTGAGTCTGTTACAATATTGCTTCTTTTTTATGTTTTGGTTTTTTGGCTGCGAGGCATGTGGGATCTTAGTTCCCCGACCAGGGATCGAACCTGCACCCCCTGCGTTGGAAGGCAAAGTCCCAACCACTGGACCGCCAGGGAAGTCCCTCTCCATGTCTTTTCATGGCTTGATGGCTTGTTTCCGTTTAGTGCTCAATAATATTCCACTGTCTGGATGCACCACAGTTTGTTTATCCATCCACCTACTCAAGGGAGTCTTGGTTGTTTCCAAGTTTGGGCAATTATGAGTAAAGCTGCTATAAACACCTGTGTGTAGGTTTCTGTGTGGACATAAGCTTTCAACTCTTTTGGGTAAATACCAAAGAGCACGACTGTGGAACTGTGGGGTATGAGTATGTTTAGTTTCGTAAGAAAGTTCCAAACTGTCTGCACCATTTTACACTGCAACCAGCAATGAAGAAGAATTTCTGTTGTTCCACCTCCTCACTGGCGTTTGGTGTTGTCAGTATTCCGGATTTTGGCCATTCCAATAGGTGTGTCGTGGTATCTCATAGTTTTAATTTGCATTTCCCTGATGACATATGATGGGGAACAATTTTTCATATGCTTATTTGCCATCAGTGTATCTTCTTTGGTGAGGTGTCAAAGTCCTTGGCCCATTTTTTAACTGTGCTGTTTTCTTATTGTTGAGTTTTAAGTGTTTTTTTTTTTTGCGGTATGCGGGCCTCTCACTGTTGTGGCCTCTCCCGCTGTGGAGCACAGGCTCCGGACGCGCAGGCTCAGCGGCCATGGCTCACGGGCCCAGCCGCTCCGCGGCATGTGGGATCTTCCCGGACCGGGGCACGAACCCGCGTCCCCTGCATCGGCAGGCGGACTCTCAACCACTGTGCCACCAGGGAAGCCCTGCCTACTTTTTCTGTTAGCGTCCTCAGCATATGAATCATAGTTGTTTTAAGCTCCTAGTCTGATAACTCCAACATCCCTGCCATTCCTGATGCTTGCTCTGTCTCTTCAAATTGTGCTTTTTGCTGTTTGGCACGCCTTGGAATTTTTCTTTTTTTTGGATAAAAGGAGCTGCTGTAAATAAGCCTTTAGTAATGTGGTGGTGTGGGGTGCATTCTCCAGCCTGTGTTGAGGGCTCAGCCTTTTCGTGAGCCTGTGCCTCTGGGCTGTGGTTTCTCAGTTTCTTTTTTCTCCCCTCTTGGGTGGGACAGAATGTCTAGAATGGGGTGGACTTGGGTATTTCCCTTCCCCAGGTCAGTTAGGCTCTGATAAAACCCCAGCAGATTAGGCACTGGTTAACTAGTCTACCCCTAGGACAGGCCCTGGTAAGAAGAATGGTTCCTTTTCCACTCCCCCTGCAGGAAGCAGAAGGAGATTTTTTTTGTTTTTTGTTTTAGATATTCGCTGTGGGAACCTTGTTAAACTCCTGGTGGTAAAACTCACAATATTGTGGGGATCCCCCTATGACTGGATCCCCCTGCACCTTTCAACACTCAGTTGTCCACACCGAGCCTCCAGCAATTCATCAGTGACAGCTCTGGTTTTCCTACACCGGCACTGGCTTCCACAGCAGTTCCTGCTTCTAAGTCTCTGCTCAGGTAAGAGGGGACTCCCTGCGTTCACCTGTCTGTGTCTCCAAGCTTGGGGGCAGCGGTTTGCCCTGTGGCCTCGCCTCTTTTACGGATCCTAAAGAGTGGTTGATTTTTCACTCTGTTCAGTTTTTTACCTGTTAGGATGAAGCAGTGACTTCCAAGTTCCTTACACATGGAACCAGAAACGGGAAATCCCTTTCTTTTATTCTTTATAAACAGCTTTATTGAGATATAATTCCCATGCCATAAAGTCCACCTGTTTAAAATGTGTAATTCAAGGTTTTTAGTTCATTCACAGAATTGAGCAACTATCCACCACAATCAATGTTAGAACATTTCAAAAAGAAATCCTATACCGTAAACACTCTGCATTCCCCCTCCTTCCAGCTCCAGGCAGCCACTAGTCTACTTTCTGTCTCTATGAATTTGCCTGTTCTGGACATTTCATCAAGATGGATCATATAATATGTAGCCTTCTGTGTCTGGCTTCTTTCGAGGTTCACCCACGTTATATAGCATGTATCAGTGTTTCACTTCTTTTTGTGGTTGAATAATATTCCAGTGTATGGGCGGGCCACGTTTTATCTGTTCGTTAGGTGATGGACATTTGGGTAGTTTCCACTTTTTGGCTATTATGAATAACGCTGCTGTGAACATTTGTGTACACGTTTTTGTGTGGCTATATGTTTCAACTCTTTGGGATACATGCCTAGGAGTGGAATTGCCGGGTCACATGGTAACTCTATGTTTAACTTTTTTGAGGAACTGCCGGACGGTTTTACAAGGTGACTTCACCGTTTAAAAATCCCACCAGCAATGTATAACAGGTTCAGTTTTCCCACATCTTTTATTATCTGCCTTCTTTGATCACAGCCATTCTAATGGCTCGTCCTAGGGGTATCTCACTGTGATTTTGACTTGCATTTCCTTAGTGACGAATGTTTTCATGTGCCTATCGGCCATCTGTATATTTTCTTCGGAGAAACGTCTACTTAGATCCTTTGCCTGTTTCTAATAGGGTATTTAACTTTTTATTATAGTGCTGTAAACATTCTTTTTATATTCTAGATGCAAGTCCCAATGTGCTTTCTCGAATGGAAGGAGAAGCTTCAAAACTTCTGACTTCATGTTCTGAAGGATTCTGTGAGGTTGACTTACTCTTTACTCTGCTTTCTTGTTCCTCACACCAAAGGGCAGCTTCTTTACAATTTTAACTCAGTATGAATGACACTGTTTTTGGAGCACTGCCACCGCTTCTGTTTGAAATTTTCAACTAATAGCATTAACACTCCAGAACTGTCCCACACACTACCCAAAAAACACAACTACCCTACCATCTTCCTCTAAGAGAAAAGATAGTTTCTTCCATAAAAATAGTCAAGTTCAGATAATTTTCAACTTTTATAAAGTACACACATCCTCTAGGGATCTAGCTAATCACCTGTGGTGGCTTTAAAATGTCCACAAATTCTTTGGCGCTCTTTCTTTCAAAAGGGACTTTACTCCTCACCCCTTGAATATGGGCTGAATTTCTAATGAAATTAGAAAAGTAGGGTCGTGTCACTTCTAAGATTAGGGGACACTGTGGCTTCCTCCTTGCTCTCTCTCGCTCTGGTTACGAGGACACTTGAGCAGCCCAATGGAGGGGTCCACGTAGCGAGGAACTGAAGCCTCCTGCCAACAGCCATGTTGAGCACGCCATCTTAGAAGCGGTACCTCCAGCTCCAGTCACGCCATCAAATGACTACAGCCCCTGACAACATCCTGACGGCAACTCACGAGAGACCCAGAGGCAGAACCACCCAGCTGAGCCACTCCCAACTTCCCAACCCACAGAAAATGAGAGATAACAAACGTTGGTTGTCTTAAGCCACTACGTCTCGAGGTAATTTGTTATGCAACAGATAACTAATACGACACCTAAAAAAATAAAACTGAAGAGTAAATGTATTTCTGAGCACAGCACCGAGCGCCCTATTCTAAGAATATCTACAAAACATATTAAAAACTGCATTCTCTGTGAAGTAGCCTAAATCTAATCCACAGGGACAATTTTTAAAATGTTACCCTAAAAGCAGGGGTTCTTTGTAGATTGTTTGGGAGCCTGAGAAAACCCTAAAGCCATTTGCAAGATTCTGTCTGCAGGAGTGTCTTTTTTCACGGAAGGGAAACCACATGTTTATAAGATTTTCAAGAGTTTTGTGACTCCAAAAAACTAATAACCACTTTCTTAAGGCATGACAGATGCTACCTTAAATCCTGGCAAGTTTCTATAATCAGGATAAAACTGCCCAAGTGTGACACCGTGCCTGGGGACACAGGGATCTTTTCAAGGAGGATTTATTGGGACTTGAGTGAGCTTACCAAGCGGGAAAAGCCTTTGCCACACCTGGGGCATTTGTAAACAGTCGGGACGAAAGTTGTATCGTGGTATTTCTTGAAGTGCACGTTTAGAAGTTGCTTCTGTTGGAAACGTCTATTGCAGGAGAGGCAGGCAAACGGCTTCTCTCCAGTGTGGGTACGTATGTGAACTGTCATATGACGTTTCTAGAAGGGAAGGAAAACAAATGGCTGAGCTACTGACAGGAATTTTTTAGCATCAGACGTTATTTACTGTATACCTTTTTTTTTTCCCCTCCCCAAAGATGTGTGCATTTTTAAGAAAAAACAAAGCAAACGCATTCTTGACACAGCACTACGGTGGAAGTAGCGCGGTCTGGCCTCTAGGAAACAAGCTTACACAGTCCCTGCCATCAGGTTACCAAGTTCTCACGATTACTCCCAGCTGGTCCTACAGTCCCAGGAGGGATGCAGTAGAACATACCTTGGGGAGTGAAACCGTAATCAATTTCCCCTCCAAAAGAGCTTATGTATTTGCAGCCCTATTTCTATAATTATTTGCCATGATCTGAGTTTACAAAGGGCAGATGGAACCTGCAAACTTGAAAATCTATTGTTAGAGTTTCAACTCAGCAGGCTTTTGGGGTCTGAAGGACATTAAGCATCTAAACATTTTCCTGGCTACTTCCTGATAGTGTTACAAATCTTCATATCGATTTAAAAGCATAGTGGGGGACTTCCCCAGTGGCACAGTGCTTAAGAATCCACCTGCCAACGCAGGGGACACGGGTTCGAGCCCTGGTCCGGGAGGATCCCACATGCCGCGGAGCAACTAAGCCTGTGAGCTACAGCTACTGAGCCTGCACTCTAGAGCCCGAGAGCCACAACTACTGAGCCCATGTGCCACAACTACTGAAGCCCGCATGCCTAGAGCCCGTGCTCCGCAACAAGAGAAGCCACTGCAATGAGAAGCCCACACACTGCAACAAAGAGTAGCCCCCGTTCACTGCAACTAGAGAAAGCCCATGTGCAGCAGTGAAGACCCAACGCAGCCATAAATAAATAAATAAATTCCTTTTTTTTTTTTTTTAAAAAAGCATTTGGGTGAAAATAATTGTTCTTGGCAAAGAAATCGCCAAAAATTTTAACTAAGATTTATATGAGTAAATCATTTGGGGCATCAGGACAAGAATATAGAGAGAGCCAAGCAAAAGTACACATTTTTTTTGTTTCTTTTTTTTTTTTTTTTTTTTGCGGTACGCGGGCCTCTCACTGCTGTGGCCTCTCCCGTTGCGGAGCGCAGGCTCCGGACGTGCAGGCTCAGCGGCCATGGCTCACGGGCCCAGCTGCTCCGCCGCATGTGGGATCTTCCCGGACTGGGGCACGAACCCGTGTCCCCTGCATCGGCAGGCAGACTCTCAACCACTGCGCCACCAGGGAAGCACCAAAAGTACACATTTTATTTGTTTTACTTAAAATGGCATGATTATTCAGATGGAATATACGACCACTTCTGCATTACTGTTAATGCCCCAACTGATGGCCTTCCTTGCAATCTTTCTCTCATGAACATACACCTCCCCGCCACACACCTTTCAGCTCATCCCTCTCTCCCAGGTAAGCATCACCTGGTCTCCTGCTGGGAGTCGTGGTCCAACCTGGGAGGGCTGCTCTCCAGGACCAAAGCGGCTCAGTGCACCCAGCAGTGCTCCAGCCTCATCCCTGGTCTCCAGGTACCCCTGTCTGCTCTCTGCTCCCCAAACACCTGGGGCTCTATCCTCCCTGGGACTACCTCCCAAGTCTCATCCATCTTCCAGGAAGCTCTCTTAGTTGATTTACACAAATTTGAGCCTGAGGCATCCAAACAGTCTAAACCTCAAAATCTATGAGAAAAACGCACTCTCTTTTATTCAAAGCATATGCTATTTCTAGCCCACACTTTGAAACACAATAAGAACTGACCTCCACCTTCGGTGACCAGCGGCAAAATATTCACAGTAGCGCACAATGCTTCAAAACCGCTGTTGAGTTCTCCAGCTTTTGGTCTTAGGACCCATTATACTCATAAAAAATCATGGCCAACTCCAAGGAGCTTTTGTATATGGGGATGATATCTATTAATATTGACTGTATTAGAAATCAATCGAGAAATTAAAAATATAAAAAATATTTATCAATTCATTGAAAAATAACAACAAACCAACTATGTTAACATACCTCTGTAAATGTCTGTTATCTATTTTTAAATTTTTATTTATTTATTTTTTGCGGTATGCGGGCCTCTCACTACTGTGGCCTCTCCCGCTGTGGAGCACAGGCTCCGGACGCGCAGGCTCAGCGGCCATGGCTCACGGGCCCAGCCGCTCTGCGGCACGTGGGATCCTCCCGGACCGGGGCATGAACCCGTGTCCCCTGCATCGGCAGGCGGACTCTCAACCACTGCGCCACCAGGGAAGCCCTATTATCTATTTTTTTTAAAAACAAAAACACTAATGTCTCGCCTCATATATAAGATGGCACTATTTGGGACATACTTGTATACAAAAGTATTTGTTGTTTACCTGAAATTCAAATTTAACTGGTCATTATCTATTTTTATTTCTAAGTCTGGCAACCTTATTCAAAGGAAATAGCTTCTGCCTTCGGTCTGTAGGGGTGTGTTATTGTGGCCGAAATAGATGAAGAACATCTGCTCTCCCAGATATGTAGTTGGGAAAGGGAGCAGAATTTTTATCGTTTTTCCTCAAATAATTGCGGGTATTCTTCTCTATTACACCAACATTCAACAAGTGGTAATTTCTTAAAAGTTGGTTAAAATGTGGGACCTGAAACCACACCAGTGAACTTTTTGTACTTTGTTATGTTAAAATGTGTTGCTCTTTTTATACTTAGAATGGATCTTTTACCCATGCATGATTTTGTAAATAACAGGTGGGTTATTACATGATTTTGTAAATAACAGGTGGGTCATTTGGAAACCATCAGAAGCTCTGAGTTATAAAGAGCTTCTAGGTGTTGAGTGGATACTATTAAAAATGCTTTCTTAAAATCACTTCAGTCTCATTTGAAAAGTCTTAAGTATTAGAAAGCTGCCAGGTTCACGCTGATGGATGTAAGTTTTCCAAGTGGGAACTGCTTTCTTGGCAACCCACTTTCCTTGACATGGCAGGATCACTTCATTTGCTTTCAAGAGAACGTCTACCAAATACCCAATAATGGAATAAGTAGAGTTTGTCATCTGTTCTTTCAAGAAAAAATAGTGATTCACGAAAAGGTGGCTAGTTGAGCTGGCAACTCAAAAGTCCCACGGATGCCTCCTCCAGATGACCACCGTGCTTTGGAGGACAGCGGAGGTGCTTTATGCCAACTTCGTAGTTCATCACGCAGACTATTAAAAAGAGCATTCAGGGTCAATCAAGATGGAATAAAGTGAATAACTTTCACGGCTTTGTCAAGGACATTCTTAAGTAAACTGCCCTTCCTTTTTGCTGCCAGTGCACGAAGAACAAGAACACAGTGGTCCTGCTTGGTGTGGCCGCACTGACTCACATTAAAGCAGCTCCACTGTTCTTGCACCATCAGTGCCAATGTCACCTAGTGAAAAGGGCAAATAATGTGTTGGCATTACAACTAGTTAATAACAGTGATCTTGATCTTATGATCCTGATTGGTTTCAAGGACCTCTAGGGGTCTGTGAGCCACACTTTAAGAACGCTTGCTTTCAACTCTTGGCTCCTCCCCAAAGTGCCTGAAACACAGTACCTGCTTGCAGGCGTAGCTGCAGTGTTCACACTTGAACCTCTTCTCGTTTCTGTGAGTTTTCTGGTGCTGAATGAGAGCGTAGCGCTCGTGGAAGACAGCAGAACAGTAGCGGCACTTCATCTCTGCAGCTTCGTACGTATGCAGCTTGAGCAAATGGACACCTAAAAGAGTAACAGAACATCACGTGGGAGAATAGGGTTACTTTCTGTGAGGCCGATTTCCCCCTACGCTCCAAATAGGGTTTCTCACCCTTGCTACTACAGGCAGACCTCGGAGATACTGCAGGTTCCGTTCCAGACCATCACAATAAAGTGAATCACATGGATTTCCTCGTTTCCCACCGCGTATAAAATTTACGTTTACGCTATACCGTAGTCTGTTAAGCGTGCAGTAGCACTATGTCTAAAAAACAATGTACATACTTTAAACATACTGCTAAAAAATGCTAATCGTCATCTGAGCCTTCAGCAAGTGATCATCTTTTTGCTGGTGGAGGGTTTGAAATATTGCGAGATTTACCAAAATGTGACATGGAGACCAGAAGTGAGCAAATGCTGTTGGAAAGATGGTGCCAACAGACTTGCTCAACGCAGGGTTGCCACAAACCTTCAATCTGTAAAATACGCGGTACCTGAGAAGCACGAGAAAGCAAAGTGCAATAAAACGAGGTCTGCCTGTATTAACACTTGAGGCTGGCTAATGCCTTCCTGGGTGGGTGTCCTGTTTTCAGCAGCATCCCTGGCCTCTACCCTCTAGTGTGCCAGTAGCATCCCTTCCTCCCCACTTGTGACAACCGAAGTGCCTCCAGACACTGCCAAATGTCTCCTGGGAGGTAAAATCAGTCTCAGCTAAAAAACTGCTGCTCTAAATGCACATCACACTGACATCTCATTTTAACATTCGTTCATACAGAGTCAAGCGTTACATAAGCTAGGGCATATTGGACCTAGTGTGTTCATTTAACAAAGCACTTGGAGAACCTTACGGTGTGGGCGGACTTTTAGGATAATGTTAAGATGGTTTTACATAACAAAGATATAACTTCAGTATTCTGGCTTAAAATAAAAGCCCCGACGTTCTGTTAGAGGCCAGTGCTCTGTTTTTTCCTACGTCGTACTTGAGAGGCGCGCTCTAGGATAATTTCTGCTCAACTAGGTCTAAAGCATGGTGGCTTTGTGATCCTTTGTGTAAGACGTCTCTGCAGGGCAGAGGTACACACCTCATACGTGCCGACTCGGTCATTTAAAGAGCTTGGTGTCTCATATAGTGTCAGGAAGGAAGACTTAGCTTGTGTACAAAGCACCTTACGGGTACATGGAGGTATAGGGAGTGCGCCACCGACTTGGATGGGACATGACCTGTATTTCTTTGCCGTGGTGTCGAAAATGTCCTTTCTCGGCAACTGGCTCAAGACTCTTGTGCTCTACAGGGTCTCACTGGGCTGTGTTTTGCAACTGACAAAGGATCTGGACGCAAAGTTAAGACTTCATTAAACACCTTTACCCTTTCAGAAATGTTTGCAAATGTCTGTGCCTCTCATCTCCAGAATTTCTCTGGGCAAACCAGGGACTCTATTTCTGCCGACATATTCTGAGTGTCACAGTGTTGTGTGCTTTAGAAAGAAGAAAATGAGAGACCAGGAACCCTGAAACAAAGGAGAGGGGCTGGTTCACTCACCGTCACCTCCACCACCGCCCCCGGCTAAGTAGGGCCGGTTTCCCCTGCAGGCGAGATACAATCCCAGCTCCCAGTCTGGCACTCGGAACTGCTCAAGGTGCCTCGTATCATTAGGAGGGTTCACCTTGTCACAGTACGGATTTCACGTCACGTGAAGCGGGCTCTTTTACTGAAGCAAGTTCCTTATGGGAAGAACCATGTCTTGCTTCCACCCTCGGTTCCCAGAATTGTTTAGGATCACAGCAAGGGTTTAAGAAAAATTTGCTGAGTGTCACGGGAGAGATCATTTAATAGAGAGTCAGAACCTGCAATCAGGCCACCTCCTGGCACCTGGTCACGAGACTCTGGGGCAGTTCGCTTTTTGTCCCTTATCCGCTTCGTCATCTGTAAAAACAGGCCCACTATGGAATAAAATAGTATCCGGGGAAGCCCTCTATGAGCTCAAATGCCCTTGAGAGCTCATCTGTGTACCTGGACCGGGCCTGGGCCAGACTCTGAAACTGCACTTACGAGATCTAGCCACAAGATGGCATCACAGGACGTCCGGAAAAAAAACACACACACACCCAGGAGCAGCTCCTGAATCCCGCTGCCTCCCTGGAATCAGGCCCAGGGCTCCACAGGCTTCCCGAAGAGCCGGCCCACGGGGCAGCTAAAGGAAGTTCTCTAAGCCAGACACTCACGCAGGTCGCTCTTCCTTGCAGTGACGGTGTCACAATGCGGGCACTGGTACTTGGGGACGTTCTCGCCGTGCTTCTGCAGGACATGTATCTTCATGGTCCCGCTCTGGGTGAAGCGTGCGTGGCAGATGTGGCATTCGTAGGGCCTCTCACCTGGGACACGGATGACAACAACGACCCTCCGCCGAGGGGCTTCACCCCGAAACCCCTGGTGCTCCCCAAAGGACACCTGGAGCTGAAAGCCTTTCTTTCCCCCCCAAGACTCCCTTTGCAACTCCTTTCCCATATGTTTAACCCCCAACTAGGGCCAGGCTCCTAAATCAAGCCCGGACAACGTGATGTCCAGCTGTGTGGACAGCAGCCCAGATGGGCGACTCTCCTAACATCTGGCGGCACTCACAGTTCAAGACCCAAATCTAGTTCCTACCCTTGGTGTAAAGAACCCAGAAGCACACATAATCATAGTCCTTATACAACAAAATATAAAGACAGTGCTTTACGAAATCAGTACACTTTGTTTTTCGTTTTGCCTTAACGTTGAAGGATGAATTAAGGCGCCGACTTTGAAAAACCTGGAAAACCTATGGGAGCAAATAGTTGACGGTGTTTACTCTTCACAGTGGGGTCACCACGGGGTATTTACGTGCTGTGTTTATGTGTTGAATTACGCTCCCTTAACGCTAAATAAATGCAGAGGCAACATCCCTGTGTCAAAACTTCGCTTTGACGTTCGAACTCTAATTCTGCACCGAAGATAACTTTGACAAGGTCACTTGTAAGAAGGAAACTACGCTTTACTTATTTGGCCTTAAGCGTGAGAAACTTTTACCGGAATGCGTCCTCATGTGCCGTTTCACCTTGTAGGCGTCTTTGCCGGCGTAGCTACAGAGATGGCACTGAAAGGGGCGTTCGCCCGTGTGCGAACGGATGTGGCGCTTCAATTTACTTGCCTGATAAACAAATGAAAGATATTTATTGCAACAGAAACTTCAAACTTGTGGCGTCTTCGATAAAGCAGCGTTATAAAAGATATCTAAACGAGTCCGATCTTAACAGCAGAGCCTACCTCCCACCCTGGAGAAAACCTGCTAAAGCCACTGCTGCTTCCTTTCTGTGGCGGATGACGCTCTGCATTTGATGTGTGTGCATGAGACCCTCGGGCGATAATGAACAGGACGTTCAAGAGACTCTCACCTCAGCTTCACTTTACAAAGGAAAATGGAAATCTAGCTGCTCCGTGGCATCCACAATCTTATTTTCATTTCTAAGGCAACGGCCTCTCAACAGCTGCAAAGTTTAGATCATGCTGCGGAAGTGCAGAGGCCAGAACATTTTTTGCTTTGCATAAACAGAGAAACTTGAAAACATGAGCTCTTGAATGGACCGACACCTGTCGGAGGCACTTCACAGTTCCAAGTTCTGTGGACCCTAAACGGCCCAGGGATGGAGGAACACCTTCCTTGCCATTAAGAATAGATTCTACGCGGGGACTTCCCTCGTGGCTCAGGGGTTAAGAATCCGCCTGCCAATGCAGGGGACACGGGTTTGAGCCCTGGTCCGGGAAGATCCCACATGGTGCGGAGCAACTAAGCCCGTGCGCCACAACTACTGAGCCTGTGCTCTAGAGCCCACGAGCCACAGCTACTGAGCCCACGTGCCACAACTACTGAGCCCGTAAGCCACAACTACTGAGCCTGTGCTCTAGAGCCCGCGTGCCGCAACTACTGAGCCCGTGTGCTGCAACTACTGAAGCCTATACGCCTAGAGCCCGCGCTCCGCAACAAGGGAAGCCACCGCAATGAGAAGCCCGCGCACTGGAACGAAGAGTAGCCCCCGCTCGCGGCAACTAGAGAAAGTCCAGCACAGCAACGAAGACCCAACGAAGCCAAAAATAAACAAATAAATAAATTTATATATATAAAAAAAGAATAGGTTCTACGCGGTAGCAGTTTGTAAGAACTTTTAAGTAGAAGAAAATACATTCTAATTTGATTAATTACATATCGTAGGCAATTAGTTAAAAGGCAAACATGCCCATTTTATCATGTTTTGGGCCTATTGTAGTGACCTTCTAGGACTGTTCTTATTCTGTATTCATTTATTTCAGGCTCTTTTCTACCTTTAGCAGAAACAGAGGTAATGAACCATGCTTGGGCTACAGACGTGGGAAAGCCCTCAGCAGCCTGTCTGTGATCTTAGGAAGGCTTCACTCGGCCTGCTTCCCTCATGTGCAGCAAAAGTACCCAGAAGCCTAAAGAACATTCAAGGACAAAGGAAGACTTGGAATGGAAAACAGGACCCAAACCAAAAAATTCAGCTTAGATTTTTAGAAGAAAAAAAGATATCTTTGAGTGTATCAGAAAGCAAAACAAAAGGAATTTTAAAAATTGTAGCATGAGAGGTTTGATAAATGGAGTGGTGTGCATGATCAAAGAAGGCTGTGTGTAAGCCTTCTCTGGACGGCTTTGAACGGTAGGAAGGGGAGGGAGGGGAGTTCAGAAGTTGGGGTACTCTGCATCCCAGCTTCACACATTCCTGCTGGCATATGTGTAAAGGGGTGGCATCAGAGTGGGGGGCTTTGGCTACTCCCCCTTAGAGCAGACCAGCATGCTAGGACTTGGAAGATGCAAAAAACAAGGTGATGGCAGAAACAGAGGGTCCACACGTCGAGGTCGACCCTGGAGAAGGGTCTCAGCGAACGTGGGAAATTTGTGCTGAGAACTGGCAGGACACCAACCAAACGTCTATTCTAGGCTTAGGATTCTCAGATGGCTTTGTTCTTTGAAACCCTCATTTTGTGTTTTCAGCGTACAGTTTCAACCTTTAACTCAGATGACAAATAGTTTTTAAAAATAGTTATAGCAAAAAAAAAAAAATTATTTTTTTGGAATCAAATTCTGCCCTGTGAAATTTCCTAGTTGATGAAACGCAGTTTCATCACTACTGCATTTAAACTTTAGCCATCCCCTTTAACTCAGTTCAATTCAAGGGTATCGTCCTTTCCCAATGGGGCTCAAAATCAGGACCCAGCGTGCGCTCTGCTAGATAGTGGCGTTCTTAAAGATTAATTGTACAAAAGTGACACTCAAAAGTAAATATAGGGCTTCCCTGGGGGCGCAGTGGTTGAGAGTCCGCCTGCCGATGCAGGGGACACGGGTTCGTGCCCCGGTCCGGGAAGATCCCACATGCCGCGGAGCGGCTGGGCCCGTGAGCCACGGCCACTGAGCCTGCGCATCCGGAGCCTGTGCCCCGCAATGGGAGAGGCCACAACAGTGAGGGGCCCGCGTACTGCAAAAAAAAAAAAAGTAAATATACCGTTCTGTTGTTTCACTGAGGGTGTGCTAAATCTGTTGGAAGGTATAAAGAAACCGATCCAGTTGAAATGAACATGACTTATAACTGAAGATTTAAAAAGTTGGCCTCTGTCATTAAGAGTGGAACTGGCCATGTTTAAACCTTTTTTTTTTTTTGCTGTACGCGGGCCTCTCACCGCTGCGGCCTCTCCCGTTGCGGAACACAGGCTCCGGACGCGCAGGCTCAGCGGACGTGGCTCACGGGCCCAGCCACTCCGTGGCATGTGGGATCTTCCCGGACCGGGGCACGAACCCGTGTCCCCTGCATCGGCAGGCGGACTCTCAACCACTGCGCCACCAGGGAAGCCCGGCCATGTTTAAATCTTTAAGCACATTGCTTTGTATCAAATCAAGTGCCACTGAGGAAAGCTCAAAACTCTCGGCGAACATTCAGATTGGGTCTCTGTTCTGTCAGAACAAATACACTTTGATTTTGTGGAACGAGTCCTACAAAGAATGCAGGGTAGAACTTTTTAACAAATATGAGAATTATTTCTCAAGGACCACAGATTATTTGTAATTTGTACAGCTCTGCATACTGCTTTCACTAGTCAGTAATCAAAGAAATCACATTTAAAAAATTAAATTTAGGAAACAAAGTGAGTATTGTTTCCTGCAGAGATGTTACAAGAGAGTCTACTGGTAGTTTGACTTACTGACTGTTACAGCAGCTTCTTAATAAAACACTACGAAACCTGAAGAGTGAACTTACCTCTACGCTAGCGTACGCGCACATGGAACATTTAAAGGGCTTCTCGTGAGTGTGTTTATAACGTCTGTGTCGGGCACGTTCTCCACTGGTGACAAATGCCATGTCACAGTCATCACACTTGTAGGGCCTGGTTCCTGTAAAATCACATAGTTTATTCTTTTAAGCAAGATTTAGCCACAATTTTCCTAGGGAATCATAACTTATTAGTGGCACTCAGTCTCAAAATGCTTTAAAAATTAAGAGGCTCTTTAAACCACAAATGCCCCGGAAAGATATGAGAAAAATCTTGGGAGCATCCAACGTTTTTAACTAAAATTGAAGAAAAAAGACAAAATTAAAGTCTAAACAAATGCATTATTTTAATATACAAACAGATGGATTTGCAATCTTACCTAAGCCTCAACACACATCATTCAAGGTAAACGTCCCTCTCAGCTGTTTACCTGTATGGGTGTTGATATGATTCCGAAGGACAGTAACAGTACGGAAAGCTTTCAGGCAAAGGTGACACGTATAGGGCTTTTCATTGGTGTGAGTTTTCATATGACGATTCAAACTCGAAATTCTAGAAGAGGTGAACGTGCAGATGTCACAGTGGAAGGTTCGTTTTACTTCTGTAGGAGGGAGAGACAACATTTATGTATTTGTAAAAACCTTTCTTTAGGTCTTCAAGTTCCACTTAAATACAAAGTAACTACACACATCCTTTTCTCACCTAATGTGGTAACTGAACAAAAGGTGCTCCATGCAAATGGTAAGCAAAAGAAAGCTGGGTGGCTATACTAATAGACAAGACAGACTTTGACAAAAATTGTTACAAGAGACAAATAAGAACACAATGCAATGATAAAAGGGTCAAACCATCATGAAGATATAACAATTATAAACATACGTGAACCTAATAACAGATCCCCAAAATACTTGAAGCAAAAACTGAAAGAACTGAAAGTAGGAAGAGATGCTTCAATAACAGTTGAGACTTCAATGCCCCACTTTCAACAATGAAGAGAACTAGACAGAATATCATCAAGGAAACAGAAGACTTAAACATTATAAACGAACTGGACAGAAGAAACAGCTATAGAACACTCCACTCAACAACAGGAGAACATACATTCTTCTCAGGTACATAAGGTACCTTCTTCAGGAAAGACCATATGGTAAATCAGAAGACAAGTGTCAATTAATTTTAAAAGACAGAAATAATTTGCTCTCTGACCATTATGGAATGAAGTCAGAAATCAATAAAAGAAGGAAATTTGTAATATTCACAAATATATAGAAGTTAAACAACACACTCCTAAAGGACCAATGGGTCAAAGAAGAAATCGCAAAGAAACTGTAAAATACTTTGAGATGAATAAAAGTGAAAACATGGCATACCAAGCTTACAGGATATAGCTAAAGTGCTCAGAAGGAAACTTTTAATTGTAAACACTTACATTAAAAAAGAAAAAATATTTCAGATCAATAACCTAACTTTACATCTTAAGGAACAAGAAAAATAAGAGAAGTCTAAACTCAAAGCTAGCAGAAGGAAGAAATAATAAGGATTAGAGTGAAGATAAATGAGATAGAAAATAAGAAAACAGCAGAGAGGACCAATGAAACTGAAAGTTGGTTCTTTTAAAAGATCAACATTGACACTTTCTCTAGACTTGTAACCAAAAAAAAAAAAAAAGATAAGTCAAATAACTAAAATCAGGAAGCAAAGTGTACTACCAACCGTACAGAAATAAAAAGGACTGTAAGAGAATACACAGATGTGTGTCAATAAACTAGAAAACCTACACAAAATGGAAAATTCCTAGAAACACACAAACTACCAAAACTGACTCAAGAAGAAATAGAAAATCCAAATAGCCCTACAATCAATAAAGAGATTGAGTCATTAATCAAAAAAGTTCAACAAAGAAACCCCCAGGGCCAGATGGCATCATTGGAGAATACCACCAGACTTAAAGAATTAACAGCAATCTAAAACTCTTAAAAAACATCTAAACTCTAACATCTAAAACTCTTAAAAAAAAAGAGAGAGAAGAGTAGGAAACACTTCCCAACCCATTTCATGAGGCCAGTATTACTCTGATACTGAAAAAAAAGACACCAGAACAAAACTATAGACCAATATCCCTTATGAATACCGATGCAAAAATCTTCAACATACTAGCAAACCAAATCCAGTAGCATACTTAAAAGACTGTGCACCTTGACTACGTGGAATTTATCACAGTAATGGAAGAGAGGTTGAGCAGATGGAAATCAATCAATGTAATACACCAAACTGACAAAAGAAAGGGAGAAAAAGCCCTACATGATCATCTCAATAGGTACAGAAAAAGCACTTCACAAATTCCAACACCCTTTCCTGATGAAACACTCAACAAACTTGGAATAGAAGGTTTTGGGGTTGAGTTGTGTTCCCCAAAAAGATCCGTTGCAGTCCTAATGGGAAATATCTATGAATGTGACCTTACTTGCACATAGGGTCTTTGAAGACAATTTCAGATGATCATACTGGACTAGGACGGGTCCTAATCCAATATGACTGGTATCCTTATAAGAAGAGAACAGAGACACAGAAAGAGACACATGGAGAACTTTATGTGACAACAGAGGCAGAGACTTGGAGGGATGCATCTACAAGCCAAGGATGCCGTGGTTGCTGTATCAGCAGAAGCTAAGAGAAAGGCATGGAACATATTCTCTTTCAGAGCCTTCCGACAGAGCATGGCTGTATCAACACTGATTTCAGACTTCAGCTTCCAGAGCTGTGACAGAATATGTTTATTTATTTATTTATTTATTTTTTTAAGATGTTGGGGGTAGGAGTTTATTAATTAATTTATTTTATTTTTGCTGTATTGGGTCTTCGTTTCTGTGCGAGGGCTTTCTCTAGTTGTGGCAAGCAGGGGCCACTCTTCATCGCGGTGTGCGGGCCTCTCACTATCGCGGCCTCTCTTGTTGCAGAGCACAGGCTCCAGACGCGCAGGCTCAGTAGTTGTGGCTCACGGGCCCAGGTGCTCCGCGGCATGTGGGATCTTCCCAGACCAGGGCTCAAACCCGTGTCCCCTGCATTAGCAGGCAGACTCTCAACCACTGCGCCACCAGGGAAGCCCTGTTTATGTTGTTTTAAGCCACCCAGTTTGTGGCATTTTGTTATGGCAGCCCTGGGAAGCTGATACAGGTACCAATTTAAAAATGGGCAAAGGATTTGAATAGACATTTTCGAAGAAGACACACCAATAGCCAATAACACATGAAAAGATACTCAACATCATTAGTCATTAGGGAAATGCAAATGAAAACCATAATGGGATACCCCTTCACACTCACTAGGATGGCTGTAATTTTTTTAAATGGAGAATAGTGAGAATGTGGAGAAAGTGGAACCCTCCTACATCGCCGGTGGGAATGTAAATTGGTGCAGCTCTGCAGCTCCTCAAATAGTGAAACATAGAGTATCCAGCAATTCCACTCCTAGGTATACACCCAAAAGAACTGAAAACAGGTGTGCAAACAAAAACTTGTCCATGAATATTCACAGCAGCACCATGGACAATAGCTAAAAGGTCAAAACAGCCTAAATCTGGATCAACAGATCACTGGATAAACAGAACATGGTGTGTATCCACACAATGGAATGTTATTCAGGGGTGAAGGAATGAAGTACCGACACATGCTCCGACGACGTGGATGAGCCTTGAAAACGTTATGGTATGTGAAGGGATCCAGACACAAAAGGCCATGTGTTACCTGGGTATGATTCCATTTAAATGAAATGCCCAGAAGTGACTGTTTGATGGGTACACTTTTCTCTTTAGGGTGATAAAAATATTCTGGAATTAGACAGTGGTGACAGAATTGTGAATATATTAAAAAACCTGAAAATGAGCTAGGAGCTGGGAATTTGGGGGTACAATCTCTTGACTTAAATATATGAGAAACTAATATATAGCAAAGGTTACGAATGCAACCAGCTACTGAAGCCAGAGGCAATCAGCCTAAATGAATAACGTTAACCACACGTAAGGAGAAGGGACAGTGGTCGCAGTGTGGCTTTCTAAACTGAGTCTCTTTCTAACCCCGACTAGCTGTTGCTAGAAGGAGGAAACAGCCGAGGGTGGCCAGATATGACTTCTTATAAATGAGCTAAAAGTTGAGACTTCAAGGGTGAACTCTCTTGATTTAAATAAGGGAGAAAAACTAATACTTTAAAAAAAAGCTGAACAAATACTTTCCGAGGGTCAGAGTCATCCTCTTTCCTGGCCTCACCTAAACATCCCCTCCCCTTAAAGGGAGCCTCTGCTGCCCTCTGGGCATCACTCCTTCCTTCTCCAGGGCCTGAAGCACTTGCTCTGGTCTCTGTCAGACCCCCTAACCCCCCGGGGATGCAAACTAGGGAGCAGATGGGGCCCAAATTTCTATTTATGTGCACGGCCCTTTTCGGGAGCCTCCGTTCTATGCTTTCAAAACATCTGCGCACAAGATGCAAAACTCTTTTGGATTTGACTCACAATACAGAACGTTAGCTCAAAACTTCTCCCATTTCCTGACATTCTGAAAGCGACTAAGGCAACCACTTCAAACTTCAACTACCATCCCCTTCCCCTAAAGAGAATCAGCAGCCCTGTTGTTTGAAGAGTCTCTTACAAAGGAACTGGCCTACCCTTCGTCTTTTTTTGACTTTCTGTAGCGTTGGCTTCTTCAACATGTGCTTGACCCAGCGCAGGTTTCTCAATATTTAAGGGTGAAATTGTCAGAACAATTTCAACTCTTCCTTCATCTCCTGGGCTCACTTCCAGAAGAGAAAACTGCCCTTCTGTTTCTTCACTGGATCCACCTTCAGCCAGCAGCCGTTCCTCTTCCTGACCTTTCTCAAGCTAATACATAAAAACAGGTATTCAAACAAGTACAATACTATTAATTACAGCCTGATTCAACTCTTTGCTTTGATGAAACCATAGAATCCATAGAGAAAAACACAAATTAAAGAAGCACAAAAGATTGTCCATTGCAACCAAAATGCTTAAACTGTAATTACTAAGCATCAAGGGTCTCGGTGGTGAAACAGAATACAATTTAAAAACTCGATGCATCTCATCGTATTCTAATTAGTGTAACTTTTTAAACTCTTCAAAAACAACATGAGGTCCCCCAAGATTTTCCTGGGAAGTATTTTTACTGTATTTAATTTTAAATTGCAAATTTTAAACTGCTTGTCCATACATAATACTGCATGAAGGGTAGCTCTAAAAAACAGTTTTCTGGCTTCCTCCCCTGCCCCCCATTTTATTAAAGCCAGTTGTACCTTTATAGATCCAGAGCTTTCTGCCAGGCTCACTGCACACTTACTGTCTTCACTGGCCCCGGTCACTTTCTCCTCCAGAACATGAAACTGCATCACCTCCACCTCCTGCAGCAGGTACACCTCCTCCTGGATGCTAATGGTGACACACTGGTGCGGGCTCTGCTGGGACCCGTCCCCACGCCACACCCGTGACTGCAGGCCACTACCAGCCTGCACCTCTTCCTGGCCCTGTGGTGCCAGGTCCCGCAGCTCCGCATCTTCGGAGGTCAAGTGCACCATCTGCAGGGTCAGGATGTGCTTCTCGCCCTCCTCCGGGATGGCCAGCAGGAGCTCCAGCTCGCCCCCTGGGATCTTGGCCTGGAGGGCCCCGTGGGTGCTCTCGGCCTCTAACTCTTCAGAGCTTGGGTGTTCCCTCGCTCTGCACACCCCTTCTTCTTCCTCCTCCAGGACTTTTTCTGTTATCAACTCTGGTTCTTTGCTTTTGGTGAACTGCTCCGGAGGGACAGAGATCTCGGTCCCTGCCATTGTGACTTGGTCTGTCAGAGAAAGAAGCAAGCCGTGTGGGTGGGCACAGTGGGTTCGGCCTAGCAGGCTTTGGGGCTGATCAAGGCCTGACAAGTTTCCAGCCTCAAAAGGCTTTGGGGCTTACACGGCTCAGGACTAAGTTAACTCAGCCTAGGCCTAGAAGGGGCTGGACTAAGTAGGACTGAGACTAAAGCAGGTGTTTGTCCAGAAGATTCTAGAACCAACAGATGTGGGCCTGGGCAGGCTTTCAACAAATGCACATTCCAGGCCTGGAACGCTTGACCCTGTGCAGGTTTCCAGCAAATGCGCATTCTAGGCCTAGAAGGGAGGCCTTGACAAGCTTCCCACCAGGGCACGATTCCAGACTCAGCACCCTTTGAGCCACGGAGGCTTTTTGCCTCGACCCTCTACCCACGCACCCTTGGCCATGCAGACCTCAGGTCTAGCATGAGCCCCTCCTGGCTCCACCCTGGCCGACTCCCTCCTCGCCACCCACCAGAACCTTTCCTGCCCACACCCACGCGGAGCAGCTCCGGCTCTGGAGGAGGCTGCAGTCTGGCCCCCGGGGGTGGCCCCTCACCCGGGAGGCGTGGCCTCGTTGCCCGGCCGGCCCAGTACCGGTGGGCTCCACCTCGTGCCGTGTGCTGCAGGCCACCGCCTGCCGCCGCAGACAGCTGCCTGAGCTCGAGGGTCAAGAATGGCAGTACGCAGGCGCAGGGCAGGAACGTGGCCGCGTGCAAGGGGCGGGGCCGGGGGAGGGGTTGATGGGGCATGCGGAATCTGGAGGAGGGGAGGTGGGAGCTGCAGGGGGCGCTGAGACCTGAGGGGAGGTGGATGGGGGGAGGGGAGGGGACCTGCAGGGGCGCCGAGACCTGAGGGGAGGTGGGTGAGGGGGGGAGAGGAGGGGGACCTGCAGGGGGCACAGAGACCTGCGGGGAGGTGGATGAGGGGAGAGTGGAGGGGGACCTGCAGGGGGCGCTGAGACCTGGGGGGAGGTGGTGAGGGGAGGTGGTGAGGGGGGGAGGGGAGGGGGACCTGCAGGGGGCGCTGAGACCTGGGGGGAGGGGGTGAGGGGGGGGGGGGGGGGGGGCGGGGGGGAGGTGGTGAGTGGGGGGAGTGCAGGGGAGGAGAGAACCAACTGAAAGGGGTTTTGAGAGATGGAGTGTGTGGAAGGGGGAGGAGGGAACCCGCTGGAGGCTACGGAGAGATGGCGGAGGAGAGGAAGAGCGGGAGTAGAGGGAGGGAGGGGGGAACACGGCGGGCGTGATGGAGAACAGGAGTGAGCCCAGGACATGGCCAGGGGTTGAGAAATGGAGGTCAGTGGAGTAAAAGACGTTGAGGGGTGAAGGGCGGGCTGTGGAGGAGATATGAGGAGGCCAGAAGGAAGACACGGCTATAGGTGGAAGCAAGAGGGAGCGAGAAGGCGAGACGCTGGGAGGGGGCTGGACCCCGTACAGTTTTACATCCTTCCCGGCTCTTTAGACAGTCTAAAGTGCTTTCCGGAAGCTCTCCTGTAAGGCAGCTGGAGGGCAAGGGAAAGTGAGGGAGAAACAGAGAAGGGGGTCGGGGGAGAGGTGAAACTCAGAAGGAGCTGTGAACCCACCACCTGTCCTTGAATTGTTCGTTTTAAAGGGGTTACTTTCTCTTGTACGAATTTCATCTCAATAAGTTCTTTTTAATGGAGAATAATGGTTTTGATGGTCTCCACAAGGAGTTGGTTCTCCAGCTAGATACAAACTAAATACAAGTTTGGAGCCAACACATGATTAAAATCATTTGCAGTTCACTGATGTTTTTAAGGCATGGTTTACACTATTCCAGGAAATTTCATTGTTTTATTTTTACTTTTTTTCAAAATTCTAATGAAAATTTAATGTTTGCTGATTGTGTATAAATATATTTGGATGCTGGGAAACAAAAAATAACTCAAAGAAGAAAGCATTCTTGAGGACAGGATTGGGGTGGGCCTCCAGAACCTCAGTGGAGGAATGGCCTATCATTTGGCCTGCCTTTATTTGAGCCCATCTTCCAACAAACCGGTGATGGGTTTTTCTCCCATCCATAGCCAGAGAATCGTTGATGTCCATCAAAGTGCTTCCTGTATGTCGGCCCATTCATTCTCCACAGCCCCTTCTTGTAGCTCTGTATCTTATTTCACATTATCGTGCAGAGTACATATGCACATTTTTTTCATTTTTGATAGTACAAAGGATAGAACTGAATTCACTTTTAAAAGAAACTCATTTGAAACTAACACAGCATTGTAAACCAACTATACTCCAATAAAAAAACAGAAAAACAAAAAACCAAAAACTCATGTACCAACAGTAATGGGTTTGTTGGTTAAAATCTTGGATGGCTAGTCTTAACATTGTGTCTGGGTTTCTATTAGAGTATGTGTGCTATATGGGGGAAGATAAATATTTGAAGGTCACTGGGAAAAGACTGTGTTATAATAACTTCTTTTAAATCATTTAAATGAGTTTTTCTGCTCGAGCAATCACGACCTATTTAGTGCCTTCTCGGGTAATTTTGCATTATTGCTCTCACACTCATGAAGCTAGAAAGTTTTAACAGGATTTTATATAATAAATTCATATTTAGAAATTTCAACTACGAATTAAAAACACATTTTTTAAAGGAGAGGAGGGACATAGAAAGGGGAAACCGAGGTAGACTTGGAGGGAAAAGTAGGGGCTTAAAGAGGAGAGAGTCGGGCGGAGGGGCGAGCAGGGGGAGAGCGTCCTTGAAAGGGAGAGTAGGGTGACGTGGATGAAGCACTCAAAGGAGGTAGAGCAGAGCAGACAAACCTGCAGTTTTCCAAACTTTGGTTCTGATGTGGAAAGTTCCAGCAAAGATTGCATCTGCTTCCTTTCCTCTTTGCAGGCACCCCTGGGACTCCCTGGCAAACCTGGACTCCCTGGCAAACCTCCCACCGAAGGATGTGTCACCTTGGAGCCTCTGCGGAGCCTTCTTTCAGAAGGTCGAGGTAGGAGGGACACCCCAGAAGGTTGTCTTCCTTTGAGAGTCTCCAGGCAGCCCTGCTGACTGGGGGAGGGGGAGGAGATTGCACATGTGCAGGACCCGCGAGGCGGCGGGTGTCGAGGCAGCCTTCCTGGGCCAGGCTGCTACCCTGGCCGTGTCAGTGACTGGGTTCAAAAGGTGGGCAGTATTTGGAGCCCACCGGTAGGCCAGACACGATCTCAAGACAGCAGGTTTGGCTGGCAGCCTCTGGAAGAATCCACACTGTCGAAGCCTCATTTCGGCAGGGCTGGCTTCTTTGCGGATGCAGGTGACTGTCACCTGTCCATTCCTTATTCTCTGTGGAATCTGAACTGACCCTTCCTTTCCGATTCCATAAGCCTCCCTGCGTTCTTGGTTAATATAATATTCGGGGGGAGACACCTCCAGAAAGAGATGCTGGATTTCTGTAAAAGGCCCGTGGAGTGCAGGAGACTAGCAAAGTAGGAGATGTGACCGATTTCAGCCCGGGTGCGTGGAGCAGTTTCTACCAGTTAAACTCTCCATCCCTGTTTATTAGGGGCATTGAGGTAAAGCGTGAGGCAGGCTGCTTGCATTTAGTCTAGAATGAAAAGAGCGATCAACTCGTGGGTCTGCAACCGTCTTGTCAAAAGCCTAAACTCCTCAGATTCGCTTCAGTTGCCTCCTTTACCCCTTCCCGGTCCCTGCTCCATCCAGACCCATCTCCTGATGACCTCAAGTGGCCACACAGGGTGTAAGCTGAGCCATGTGTCTGTTCTAATACCCAGAGCTTTGCGCCTGGCTTGGCTTTGCTGTCGTAGGTGTCCCTGAGAGCACTGACGGGTACAGCGTAGCCCTGCTGAGACCTGGCATCCTGTCCCGGAGGCAAATGTTGCATCTCCTAAAGATGCTGCGGTTGGCACCGGCCAGCCTCAGGCTCCTCCAGCACCTTTGGTGTAGTTGTTGGTCACTTGCCTCCTTCAGGTGACAGGGATGCTCACCACACCTTTTGGCCAGTATGTCAAGCGACTTGTGTGTGGTTGTCAGCCGCTTGCTGGATGGGCTCCTGGGAGAGGCTACAGAGGCCTGTAGCATTGTGGGTGGTATTGTTCCTTGGCTCTCCACATTATCAGCTTTTGACCAGCCAGTGTGGCTCCAAGGAAAGAAGGGTCCTGGCCAAGTATATGGTGCTTACCACGTAAAATGGAACAAGGGTAGGAGGCCACGTTAACACTTGGTTGTAGAAAGCAAATGTTCGAGTACCTCTACTCAGCTCTCTTGGCCACAAGTTCTACCTCCAAGGTCTGCTTTTGACCCAGGAGGCATGGATGACGGGGGCAGCGGGGGGAGCAGAAGTAATGTATAATCCTATTCATAAATGTAATAAATTTACCCAGAGATATATACGTGATCAATATAAAAATATTTTGAAACAAAAATATAATAAATGCATGTCTTGCAGGACGGCACTGAATGAGGCAGGCCAGCAAGTGCTGACAACATCTTTAAAGTTTATTCTCAGTCTGCTCACTGCTTCCAGAGTGAGTGTCATGAGCCTTACCACCTAATGAGTCCCTGGCCCCCTAACTTGAGTGCAAAATCTTGATAAGGCACGTGGTGCGCGCTTAAATAGTTGAGCTTCCCAAGTGAAAAAGGAGTTTAGTGGTGAAGTGCTATGTGAAGGTTGGAATTGTCAGAGAATCTGCGGCAAGGGGTCTTTGTCAGTAGTTTGTATCCAGTGTGCGTAGGACAGGGAGGGCCCTCGGCAGTGTTTTGTGGAATTGCTGGATGCTGGCGTCCATAGCCCTTCCCCATTCTATTTTTCTTGCCTCTTTAGCATCCAGGAAGGGTGAATTTGGTTTTTATATCCTGGAATCTTACCTAAATAAACGTCAGAGTGGTTTTCTCCTGTTGCCCTGAAGCGATATTTACCTGAACAGTTGAAAGACATCTCTGACCTCTTCATTTTAAGAAGCCTTCCTGAAACTTTTTACTTTCTTCAACAGTTGTTCATTCAT